AGCGTTACTTAAAAAAAGGCTGTAGACTTTTCAACTTTGGAAGTGATGGGTCATCTTTTGTTAATGTGAATCATGTTGTGTCTCAATAGCAACCAGGCTATCACTGAGAAGAGGACAGACCTAAATGTTCAGCAATTGAGCTAAAGAATCAGACAAACCTAGGATCTAATCCAAAGTAGCCACCCAAATCTGGTGAGCTTGAACTTTAGTATATTTGCATTATGGTAGAATTCATGGTACCACTTTATGGAATTGTTGTGAGAATTAAACATGACAAAGGGCATAGAAAGGGCTAGAATGCTGCCTAACATACCGTAAGCAGCAACACTTTTAATTGTATCATTATTTTCATCCTCTTTGCTGAGACTTGTCCTCTTTAGTAGTATTTGCTTCTCTTCTTTGCTCATTAGGTTTAACCAGATGATAATTTCTGTTCATTCAAAGTCCATCTCTAATGCAGCTTTAGTTTTATGCAGAATTAGCCCTGTAGGGATTACGGTAATGGTTCTCAAAGTGCGGTCCCTGGCCCAGAAGCTTCAGTGTCACACGAGCCTTGTTAGAAATACAAATTCTTTGGCCTGGGAATCTCTGTTTTAACCAGCCCCCCAGATGATTCTAATCCACCATAACGTTTAAGAAACACCAGGTCACAGCCATGCCCTTCTCATTCTCCATGGCTTAGTCCACCCATGACCTATTCTGCCCCCAAATCTGAATAGTAAAATTCCGAGCCTTATATTCCCATTATTTTGATATTTCTATGTATTTGATGGGTCCCTTCAACACAAAGGGTAAGATAATTTCCTTGATCTGGCATCCGAAGGCAACTATAATTTGCTTCACTTCACTTTCCAGCCAAATCTTCTGTCTCCTGATTTCCCTTATGCTCAGAAGACATTCTAAACTCTTCTCCTCTTGATCAAGACATTTCTTAATTTGGAAATGCATTTCTGACAAAGGCTACTGCTGCTACTTGATCCTGATGAAAATGCGCCTTCACAAAGAATCTTTCCAGAGAAGTTTCTTCCATCCAGTGGAGAAATCTTAGCCTTCTCCAAATCACATTTATTTTTTTATTATTTTATTTTATTTATTAAATGATATAACAGAGTTTCAAATGCATGCCTTAGAGAAAGCACTGTCCTTGTTTTATTATTAAGGCTCAGAGAGGAAGGAGTCATATCTTACTGTGTTCCAAGTGCTCAATTCTTGACACATAGTAGGTGCACATGGAATACTTGCTGAAAGGAGCTGCACCCTATCTACTCCAGGTATTTGTTTACTCATGAAGCTTTAGAGAAAGAATACTGATGTGAGAAGATAGAAGCATTACGTTTTGGGGAGACTTGTTCTGTGAATTCTGGCTAGGCAGGCCTGGAGAAGTCATTTCACATCTCAGAGGGTTTCCTTGTCATTCTTCCATTAATTTCTGTGAGGTTGAAATGAAACAGTGCTTGTCAAGTGTTCAACGCAATGCCTGACTCAAGGATGGTGCTAAAGAATATAAGTTTCTTTCTTTCTTTTTTTTTTTTTTTTAGCTGAGCCATCCTGCCACTTGTTGGCAGCTCAGCAGCAGCTCAGCTTGGGCCAGGAATTGAACCAGCAACTCTGTTGCTCAGAGCTCATACTCTTGAGTGAAATCTTAACCAACTGAGCCACTAGGCCGGCCCACAATGCAAGTTTCTTTATTCTTAGTTGATTTGAATTCCTGGGTCATTAGAAATGTCAGTCATAAAAGGAGCAAGCACAACATATCCTTGTGACACAGAACATAACCCTTGACCTTGGGCAACATGTGTAGTGCATGCTTGTCCTATAGATGCTCCCGGAACAAGAAAATATCAGTATCATAAATGAGGGTGCAGAGTAACCACTGTCCTGTCAGCACAAATTATATGGGAGCAAGTCATTATCATTTAAATTTTACCATCTGATTAAAGGGGCACCTGACCTGGCACTGAAATGCTAGGTGGGGATGAATAAAGATGAAATTGGTGCCTATTTTTAGCCCCATTTCTAAGCTTTGGATTAGGGATTCCTATAATCAGAAAACATGCTGCATGTTCATCCTTTTGGCTTTGCTGCTTTGTAACCTGCTTCCACTTGTTCAAAACAGATTCAATGATAAGTGGGCTTGTTGGGGAACGCAGTGCGAGCTGGCGTTATTCATGGCTTGCCTCAAGACTCTCAGAAGGGAAAGGAAATAAAGGTTCTTAGATCCTTTGGGGAAAGAGAGAGGGGACCCAAGGCACCTCTCCACCAGCATCTTTCCCATGACCTCTGACTCCCAAACTTGGTTAATAATCTGGGAATCCATCGTTGTAAGCACAGTCCACGCCCCGCCATTTTCATACAAGGAGAGTGCAATCATTCCTGCCCTGTATGGCTCAGCTTCAGTCGCTGAGGATAGAAGGACTTAACAAATCCAGGAAGTTGTAGTGCCTGTGTGTGCCTATCTACCTGAGACTTTTAACAAAGAGCTGAGTGGGGTGTATGAAAGCAAAGATCCTTTCCACCCATCAGTGAACAGCATCTGTTTGGAGTCAGAAGTCATCAGAGTGCTCTCTAGTGGTATTAGTACGTTGTTTCCTTCATTCATTAATTTAGCACATATTTATTCGCAGCCCCAAGCACTGTGCGAGGCTCCTAGGATAAAACAGTAATCAATGATAAAGCAATAATCAAGTGTTTCATGAGATCAAGGACCTTATCCATTTCTCCCTTTAGAAATCTATTCTGAAAACCATAATCAAATAAATGGTTATTATAAGCTTCAACCATTCATTTGAAGGAAAGGGCGTGGATTTGTGAGAACCCATAACAAAGGAACCTGACCCAGCACGGGTATCAGGAAGTAGTAATAATAAGTTAACAGTTACATTAACACTTATATAGTACTTGTAGCATTATAAATGCATTAATAGATTTAATATGAGTAATACAAATTTCTATTTACACTGAAATTCCAAAGAATCCATAGTTAACCAGTTGATGGCTATTAGATATATTATATCTAATCCTTTTTTCCAAACATGTAAGGTGTTGGAGCAAAGAAGTCTGATTCACGTGTAGAGAAGGGAATTCTGGAAGAAAAGCAGAAAGGACTTATGGGTAGGCTACAGAACCTTATCACTTCTTAGCCGTGCATACTGAGATTCAGCATCCCAGTCTGAAATAAATTTTAAAAAGAAAACAAAAACAAAAAACAAAGAACGGCCATACTATTTCCAACTCCTCCCATCAAAAGGTGACATTTATTTCTCCATTCCTTGAACCTGTTCTTGGTGATGTCTCTTGTTTTGGCCAATGGCATTATCAATTTTTAAGCCTGATGCCAAGAGACACTTGGAAAGTGTCTGTCTTTTTTATTCCCCCTGGAACACTGACAGCACCACTGAAGAAGCTGAGCTAGCCTATTAGAGGATGAGAGATCACGTGGAGCACAGAAGAACTGAACTGATTGCGACACCCTGGTCTAACGAGCCTGTTCTATATACACGTGACGCCAGTAGAGACCATCTAGCCCCAGACAAGTCACCAGCTGACCAAAACAATTAGCAAAGTCAGTTCAGACCAAAGAACTACCCAGCTGCCTCACAGAACCAGGAGAAATACATGTTTATTATTTTAAGCCACTAAATTTTGACACGGTTTGTTATGCAGCATACATGAACAGATACAAAGCACAGTGTTTGTATAACTGTTTTGGTCTCCTTTCTGCCTCAGCCCAAGTGGCTGGGAAAAAAAGAGGGGGGGTGAATGACAAATAGAGTTTAGCGATAAGATGACAGGGATGGGAGAAAGAGTAGGAACCAGGTTAGGCCTGATGGAGGCGAGACAGGCAGGTGGGGACGGAGGGGGAAAGGGTTTGAGAGAGGGAAGAGAAGAACGCTATTGAGTCCTTACTGTATGCCAGATGCTGTTTTATGCACTCCCCCTGTATTAACACATTTCACTCTCAAACTTCAAGTATAGCAAACGAGGCTTAGAGATTATATAACTTACTCAAGTTACACATATAACAAATGTTGAACCCGATATTTGGCTGTGACAATTTGACTCATAGTTTAGGTTTTTAACTAATAACCGCTACTGCTTACAGAGAAAGCAGTGCCGATGACCCTGTTTGGGGTAAGAAGAGAGCTTTTAAGGTTGCAAACCTGGCCAGGGCATTTAGAACTGATCAAGAAGATTCCTCCCCTGGATACAGATCACTGTAGAAAATCATGCTATCAAAATCATCTCAAGATGATACTTCCTGAACAAATGTACAATCTGGTAAATCCTCAGAATGAAGTTGGGTGGTTCTGCTGATGACAAGAAGGCCCTTTTGGGCATATCCTCTTTAATTATATAATAATGATAAAAGTAATGTCTACTTTATAATCATTGTTATAAAAATCAACACTGTATTATCATTTCATGAAATGTTTACTCTCTATTATACAAGCTATTAACATTTAAATATATTTATTTCTTATCGTATACCTCTAAAGGTATACCAATATTTTCCACATTTTACAGATAGCGAAACTGAGTTACAGAGAGACTTTATGTAATGTACTAACAGAATGAGTGTGGATAAGTGAAAAAGTAATGATTCCATCCAAGTAATCTAACTTACAAGTCTGGCCACTTAACTCCTATCTTATTCTCTGACTTCTAGATTTTTTTTTGCATTTTCCCCCAAGTCCTTATAATTTCCCTATCCCCCAAAGCCAGAGGATAAATAAACCTAATATTCTCTGACTTTATAATCTGTTCAAATATCTAAGACCTTTCCCATCTCCCCCCGCTGTATCTGGAACCCTCAGACCTGGAGGCGACCATTTGCTCTGAGTGGCCAGCTTGCACCTGAAAAACTTGAATTACCATTTGCAGCTTACCTCCTTTCTATCCTTCGTCTACTGTTATCTACAGTAAGAGTTATTGTTGAGGCTTAGGGGAGGCTGTTTTATAAACAGAGAACAGGGTGAGACATCGGGCTAAAAATCTCTTACTTTCTGTCTTTTTCTGGGTTAGGACTGAGGAGCTATTAGTCACAATGACATCTGAAAGGAGCTCCTGGTTAAAATCTGCATCTTCATTCTCAATCTGCATGCTTTCTCTAAGTAGATTAGAACAAAAGAGGGTCAAAGATAAAAAAAAAAAGATGGAGAGGTTGTGGGAGGATATTGGTAGAATGGCTGCAAAACAAAGTGAAAATAAGGGAGGAATCCCCAAATCAAGATGCAAAGAACCGGAGCGGCTATACAGGAAGTGGGCACTGTAATGATTGAAAGAACACTGACATGGGTTACCTACAGAAAGCTATCCATTTGAGGCCTGTATCAGTCATGTCCTTGGACTTGGAATGCCGCTGCCTCCAATTCTTCCCCGTGGGGAATTGTGTACTGGATGCTAATCCCTGTTCCAGGAACCTGTGGCTTCCCCTTCCCTTCCCCATATTTTATTTTCCACTTCCCTTCATTCTAGTCCCATTGTTAAGAAGACCGATCTTCATCTTATAGCATCTGCATGCTTACCTGAGGTAGGGGTACCCTGATAGGCACTATCTATCCTATGCCACAGGCCTATGAATTCCCAAGACTCAGTGGTCTTACTGCTACTGGCTCGCTGATATTTGGAAGCCCCTTAAACATTCCTGGCCCTGAATTTCACTGTCTACCTCGGGCCCTGATTCCCCTTTCCCTTCTGTGCGAGTTATCTGACGGGTGAGTGGTTCCCTTCATCTGCCGCCACTCAACCCTACCCAGGGAAAAGGCATTGATCATAATGAAACTATAGTCCTGATTACGCCCTAGGCAACAGAGAGAGATGTTCCATGTTTTGAACAGGATCTTGGTATCAAATTTGGAGTCCTTAGTCCTATCAGGCTCTTGAAGACTGTGCTTGCTTTAGTGGAGGGCCTTTCCTTGGCCATCGGTCAACCTACATTACTATGCCTGAACCCAAGCTAAGAGGAAGGTCACTGAACAAATATATAGGCTGTGCAATGAAGAAAGGTCACTGCACCTCACAGTAACACACAGGCCATGAATATCAAATGTGTTGTAGAGAGGAGAAGGGGTAACATGTAATATAAACCGAATCAATAACTTTAAACTAAGCTGTTATTCAAAGCCCAGGGTCAGGGCTATATTTACAAGAAAATACCCAATTTATTCATCAATTTCCAAAGGCTATAGATTTTGAGCTAAGAAGTATAGTATCATACTATCATGTTTAATTCAATTCTCACTACACCCAAGATTTTAAAGCACAATTATAATTCCCATTTAGCAGATGATAAAACAGAGTAAGGCAGGAGAAGTATTCTGCCCAAGGTTAAATAGCCAAGACGTGGCCAATGCCATCCAACGCTAGGACCTAAATTTTCTCTACACAATGAGCTGCCCAGAAAGATATATTTTTCCTAAGTATCCTGGGTTGGACAAAGCAATTATTCTGGCAACTGGGCCCTCTGCCAAGAAGAAACATTCCTTAAGTGCTATCAAACTAGTGTTTTCCCTGGGAGATTGAACCATCATTAGTGAAAAGCTTCATTTGCAATATTGTGTGCAGCCCGCTGTAGTGGGCCAGCACAATGCACTATCACTAACCGAAAGAGATTAATTTCATGGGCAATTATATGCTTCCTGCTTTAAAATACTTTCAGGTAACCACTAGTAGTGAGCTCTCTGTAAGGGCCAATTACCCGCTCCCTGGTACACAGGGTCAGTGGGTTTCCCCATGTTCTATCCTACATCACCAGTTTCTCTGGGAAGAACTCTCTAAAACTGGCATTCAGTGCCTCTAAAATACCCCTGCAGAGACTCTGTTCTAAGTAAAGTGATCCCCCCCCCACAGTCCCCCAATATCCTTCCTCTCTCCTCCAGCTGTGCTTGTTACCATGTTGTTCTCTTAGGTCAGTCTTACCACACACTCTACTCAACCTAAAGGAATCCTGGGCACCATCTGACCAGTTTCAGCTCAAAGCTCAGGTCAATGAAGTATCACTTAATCACCATGGGAGTAACAAAAAGTAAAGACAAAAACAAACAAAGAACACCTCACCTTTCTCTGCTTTCCTCTACAGTGTAATAATGTGCATCTGATTGGGGGGCGGAGAAGAGGCGAAGAATTTTGGAGACAAGGCTTCCTGAATCCCCGCCCTGAGGTTTTGATTAGGTAAATCCTGGGTGAAGGCGGAAACTCGTTTTGTTTGGTTGAAATAATTACTCAGGGGAATGGAATCAGTTTGGGTTAGTTCTCTGTGATCTTCATTAAAAAATTCTATCCCCTTCACCTTTTGCAGCCATTGGTAGTTATAAAATAGTCATGGGGGTGTAAAGTACAGCATAGGAAATATAGTCAATAATGTTGCAACAGCTGTGTATAGTGCCAGGTGGGTACTAGACTAATGGGAGAGTGAGGAGGAATCACTGCCTAATTATATAAATGTCTAACCACTATGCTGTACACCTGAAATTACTATAAAATAATATTGAATGTCAACTGTAACTGAAAGAAAAACACTATCTCCTAAAATGTACTATTTTGTGCTCTCTATGCTCAGTTTCCTGATTTCTAAAAAAATGGGAATAGAATTCCAGTCTGAACCTTCCATAGCTCTGGTTTATCCTTTAGGTAATATTCCTACCCTGGGTTACAAATGTTAAAACAGGAGGGGCTGAGTGTGTTGATTCTTTCCTCCCACTGCATGCCTGTCCCTGCAAATGCCTTCTGCCTTGCACAAAACTACTTTATTTGTTTGCTTCAGGAAGTGATGTGGCAGAAGCTCAATTGAAGCAGGAGAATGAAAGGGAAGAAGGTATACGAGAGGTTTCTTCCGTGCAAGGCATGGAAGAATATATGATCTGCAGTTAAACAGCATGGGGCCGGTCCTAAATTCACCCACCAACTCACCCACTCACCCACCCCCTGCTCTCCATGAAACCTTGGGCCAGTTACCTAACCTGAGTCTGAGTTCCCTTGTCTGAAAAATTGAAAGTACCTACTTTCACAGAGTGAGAATTAAATGCATCATAGGACTTACATAATATGTTTTCAGCGTTAGTCAGCTAAATGTACCTTAAAGCTTCACCACTGTGGTAAACAGCAGCCATGCACGATCATTGCAGAGGATACTTAGCGGAGATACGCTAGATAAGCCTAATCTCTTGCTAGCACGTGGGCACCTACCCACTGGCTTCTGTAATGAGATGCACCAGTTGATTGTGATGGCAAGCTAGACCTACTACTTCTGAAATACTTGGGTCATATACACAGGGAAGCAGCTCAGCCTTGGCTAAGTGAAGCTGGCATGAGAGAATAAAGGACCTCATCATTCTCATTAAGACATAACAGATGGACTTCCCTAAAATCCATTTTTTAGCTTAATTTCATTTGTTTAAATCTTTGCCTGATGAGATGGTGTTCTGAGAGTAATTTTAAATTGTTCTGCCTGAAATAATATTTCTTTAACTTTATTAGAACCTTTCCCTAAGGGGTTCTGTTGTCCTGGGAGGTTTTAAATATTCATCTCATCCAAATACAATAAATCTCCCCTTAATATTTTTTCCCCCAACACCTGGTCTGGGGCTTTTGCAAGGTAAACATTCTGTGATGGGCTAAATCATAAAACCCAGTCAAAACAAGTCACTGAGCCATTTCCATAGTAATTACAACTTTTCTTAAGTTCTCTGCAATCCATTTCTACTTCCTTTCATGATTTAAAAAAAGGAGGCTCAAAAAGCATCCATTTAAAGTTCCTCAGTGTATGCCCACCTCATGCTTATATGTTACTGCTAAAAATTAAAGTTCTCTTTGTACCTTTATGCTTTTTGAGTCTAAGAAAGTTACATGCAAATTTTTTTTTAAAAGCAGACTGATATCTAAGTTTACAGTTCCACATTTCCTAAGATGCTTAACCTCCTGAATTAAGTTTGCTTCTAGGACTAAATATTTCTATATTGTTTGTTTAGTGTTCAATCTCTGAGTAAAAGCAAATTAATTAATTAATTAATTAAAAAGCTGAGATAACCCCCACTGTTTGAACAGAGTAGTGTAAGTCTGATTTACATATTTTAAATTCGATCAGGTTCATGGACAAACCGAAGGTCTTCATGGGGTCAGAGTTATTCTGTATTTGTTCTCTATATGGAGCCAACTGTAAACCTGAATGTGGGATGTATCTGAGCGGTTTCTTCCAAGACATAAAAAAATATTTCATCTGGTCTATATTTTGATATTTTAAATTTTTTTTGTAATTTGATTATATGAAATTAATAATACTAATAACTCTACCACTTGAAAACAAACTTAATATTTTACAGATACACATAAAATCTTGATTTTTCCCCCCTATTTATTATGCTACAATTTTTAAATATAATCATATCTTCATTGAAGGAGGCATGTCATTGCGCTCTTGTCACCCCATCAACATGGAACTGCTGGTATTTCCCGAGGCTCATGTCTTTGTCCTTATCTCTAGGTCTTTCTTTAGGGATCTCAGCAGATTCCAAATCACCTTTCATATGCAGGTGCCTCCAGGTACCACTAGGAGGAAAACTCCAAGAGCACCCAGGCTTGCACCTATTCAGCCCGCTGCTCTATCCCCATCACTAGAAGAGTGCTTGGCAGGTAATGAAGACTCAATTACTAATTATTGAGTGAATGAGCAAAGGCATGTCTTCCCTGACTGGGGCTGGTACCCGTGTCAGCCTGGAGTTCACAGCTCATTACCCTGCAGCATCTGCTCTTGTGTCTGTCTCCTTACTTGTCTGTGACTCCTTGCAAATGAGTCTTTTCTTTCTGGATTGCCCCTGAAATGTTTCTTAACCACCTGCGCTGTGTGTATTCATTTCTTTTCACTCCTTCAAAAATGGAATACGTGGATCCTTATAATTAGGGCTTCTCTGATAAATATTTAAGGGAAGGCATCCTTCTCATAAAACAGTGTCACGGATTAGGGCTGACTCAACTAAGTTGGGCTCAATATATGCGAAAGTTCTTTCAAAAGTAATTACTACCTACATACTTTAAAGAACCCTGTGATCCTTTTGAGCATTTTTGTAAAGCTTTAAATCAACCTAAATAGATGTAGTTTTACTCAGAGGCTTA